AGTTTTGGAATTTAATTAACTACACCATCCATGTCAAAGCAAACCATCCTGGTAGGATAACAAAACAAGTAAACGTCATCTCTGTCCTAATTCTTCCTGTCTTTGTCTTCTATTGGCTTCTTATGCATTGGTTGCCTGAAGAGGAAGTTTCTGGGAAGTCCAAACAAAGGAAAGTCTATGAGGATAAACCTCATCAGCACAAGTCATTGTTCATTTCAAAAGTGTGAGATACTATAATTAAAGTGGGTTTCCAAGAGAATCTGATTGTCAAGTTGTAAATCATATGTATGAGAACTTGCTTTCACACAGAGAGCGAGTTTCTTCAGTTTGTTGACACGCCTAAATGATTGTGATCAAACAAAGATTAACATCAGACAAAGATAAATACAACAAATACAAATAGCAGTTTACAAATTAGGATTTTATTTATGAAGAGAAAAAAAAATCACCCACCCAGGACTTGTGTGAAATCCTGTTTATTATATCATACATTTGGTGGGATTAACCATATTCTTAGGTTCAACAGGCACACCCAGGACTCATTACAGCCTGGGATGTACAGTCAATAAATCACAAATATAACCAGTGAACATGAAGTAGGCTGGAACATATCTAAAATAAACACATCATAGCCTGATCTAAAGAAACACAGAAAAAGATAAGAGAAAAAGTAATTGACATGTAACATGTAACTGGAAAGTCTTACAAAACTCCTTCTAAGTCATTGAGACTTCAGTAGCCCCAAGAGTGAAAAATCACCACCACAGAGCTTCATAAAGTAGTGTTTTTTTTAATAAGAAGAAATGCAGTCAGCTACATGGACCTCTATGCATACTCTCTCTGGAAGGCTCCACGGATGAAGTAAAAGCATGCTGAAACTTCTTTAAAGCTTGAAAATTTTGGAGAAGCCAGTGAAATAAAGGAAAAATAACATCTGGTTAGGTAAACGCAAGCCTGAACTCTGCATGTGTCATCGCACACACACAATGTGGAATGACACACAGTATGTCATTGCACGCACAGTGTGTCATTGCACATTATGTGCATAGAATGGAGTGTGAACATCATGGTATGGGCTGTTTTACAGCATATAGTACTAGCATCTGACTGCGGGAAAGATGTATAGAAAACTGTAAAAAAAAAGTGAAAGTCAGAATCTGCAGATGGAACAAGTGGAGATTTTCAAGCGAGACAATAGTCCCGAACACATGACTACTGAAGCTCTCAGTTGGCTTCAGAGAAATAAATAAAGTGAAACTACTAGCATAACACAGTTAATCATGTTGTCAACTCTGAAAAAGTAAGAAACATGGCACTGAGGGGCACATGAAGGATTTTCAGAACAAGATGTAGAAATTTTTTGGAACAGTGTGTGAAAAAATTACGCCAGAGAAATTATGTAACTAGAATTTATTATTACCAAGAATATTTCCCATAAATTATTTAAAATTTTTTAGTAATTACAATCAACATGTTTTTTAATTGTACCATGCATTTTTTACCCAGAATCTCATTTGTGAACTAATTTGATTTTATTTCAATGTGTGCAAATTATTTGGGTTGGTGCATATATGTGGTAGAAGTATAATGTAAATTGACACATTGGACATATTTACGTGCTTTTCTCACTGTACATAATATGCTGCTCAGACAAAACAGACCCATATTAAAGCAGGATGTACAAAGAAAAGAAAAGGATTTATTTTAATAAAGTAAAACAAAAGCCGCTCTCTGCAGAGCCGGATGTTTGCAGGAACACTCTGACCACAGCTGACAATGAAAACAAGACCTGACATGACAAACCTCACAATGCAAGCTAGAACTATATCTGACTGGGAACACCTTAAGCCTGGGACTACACACCCTGAGGAGGCGTGAGACTGATTCAGAGCAGGATTTCAATCCATCGCCGTAGCTGCCCTTTCGGAATTGTTTTTTTAAGTTACATAAATTCAGTTGGAAACTGATCATAAATCTTTAGTTGTCCACATTTGTCACCTTGTAACCATCAACTTCAGAGTATTAATTTTGTTTTTATGTCACAAAACACGACATAGTTGGGAAGTGAAAGGACAAAGGTCCAGGGCATTCAATATTTTTATGAGTAGAATAAAAATATGGTCTCCATTCAGTCCTCTTTTCTGTGATGCCACTTAAAGGGGCAGTATAATGTATTCTCCAGGCACATAGTGCCATTTAATAGCACAGTAAAGTATCTGTCTTACCTTCATAAAACACACATAATTTGACTTTGATGGCTTAAAATTTATCCTTTGTCTCTTTAAGAACCTCCTGCACTCACAACAATCCCTTTCTATTATCCAGTTTAAAACCATTTTAAGGAGCAATGAGCTGAGATGTAGCTTATGCGAGACACTCAGAAAATATGCAGTTCCACAAGGTGTTTTGTAATTAATGCTGCCACTAGTCTGTCTTTATCACACACTTTTGCTCTGTGAGGCTAAACTTTTGGCTGGAGACGGCAGGTCAATGGAGGAATTTTGTGGAAACAGGCAGCACTTTGTGAGAGGAAGCACCACCAGAGATTCATGGATTTCTTAAACATGTATCAAAGAACCAAAGCAACACTGCAGGTATTTTATTGATGCGGGAATAACATTGTAACATGATGGTAAAACTGCCACCAACTGCCGCTCCGCAAGACTGGAGAATGAAGTGCATATCATTTTTCTCTCATCGCTGCAATTACTGTGAGAGAGCTACAGATATGAATCGCAGTACTTTCGGAGACGACAAATTGCCCTCTCATATGCTTCAAACGGTTTTCCGATACGTATCACGGTTTCCGAACGGCAAGGAGTTGTTCAGACTGCTTTTTCCATTAAAACTGGCTGGATGTCTCACAAAGATAGAAATCATTCTCCACCTCTCTGCCTCACACACACATGACAGTTGACCTTCTCTTTGGAACTACAATTACTGAAGGTTACAACTACAACATGGTGGAACACTCAGTGCCTACAAAAGAGGTCAGAGCTGATTGTCAGAACTACAACATGGCGAAACTATCAGTTACTACTGAGGAGGAATGATCTGGCCTTTAGAATTACATTGTGTTTGTGCTTTTTATAACTGATTTTAACCAACCATTGTTACACATAGGATTATTGTAGCAATTTTAAATTAAGCTTAATAAAAATTTCAAAATAAAAGCCTTGAGAATTTTTACATCACATTATTGCTGTTTAGGGTATTTTATAACTGATCCAACCCATCGCTGTTACACATGGGATTAGATTTGTCATTTAAAATCAAGCTTAATGGAAATTTCAAAATAAAAGCTTCATGCTCCTTCTGTGGCTAGTGCAGCGCCATAGGCGCTGCAATGACATTAGCTTTTCTCTCAGGTATTAACTTTAGCACAAACATTAGCATTTCACTGTTCGCCACTAGTGCACTGCCATATGCAGTGCAAAAAGATTATCCTGAATTATCTTTTTCACTGAGGTTAGAGTGAAAGAGTATTAGCCTTTTACCTTAAATGAGGTATTATATATTTCCCTTACTTATTACCCATGTTTAGTATACTGAAGTCAATTACAGACTTCATGCTTGAGCTGACCCACATGCTACTGAAAGCATGTAGGCTCAAATTAGCATTTTGGCTAATTTTAGCTTATACACTACTTTTAACATACTGAATGGTGCAAGTCCATGTTAGTCAACATATTTGTGACTCTCCACATACTATTGATTACATTGCAGCTTTCTTTAGCATTGATGCTATTTTTTAGCATCAGAACGCTGGGTCCAAACCGATGGGCACACTTGGGAGGCTCCGGTTATATTTTTTCAGAAATTTTCTCGTTCATGTTGGACCATGGAATAAAAGTTTTTGTTAAAAACACACAATAACAAAAGGATGAAAAGTTTAAGGGGTTTGAATACTTTTGCAAAGCACTGGCGCATTCATTTACGCATGAGCCGCTTTGCTTGGTTGAAGTTTAATAATTAATTTCATGTAAATGAAAAGCAAAATAAAAGTAACTCAACCTGGCAGCAGCAAATGAAACTGACGTTCACCTGGTGTCATCAGGGACATGCTTTGCATGATACATGCAAACCAAAACAATTTTTTTGAAATGGACATGGACACACTTTGTAAATACTTAGCAAAAACTTTCATTATACACTTTTGTGGTATGTCTGTACAAACTTTGCTCATTTAGAGACTGAAATGTGCTCATTCTTTTTTCATCACAATTATTGCAGTCAGGTATTGAACACAATATAGCCTCTTTTTTTTTTTTGCATTGCTAGTTTATCATGTTTCAAGTAGAAATGTACAAATGATCATAGCTTATTCTACTTCATCTGAGCTAATCTACCTCAATTAAGAGCAAAAATGACCAATCAGGAAATTTTTTCTCAATTGCAACAGCCAAGAGCTAAAAATGGTCATTTGTTGGCTTCACTTGTATTTTGTCTGTCTGTGGCATTTTATTATCTTTTTCATTGATACTGATAGTTGGAAGCATGTCAAATATGACCCAATATTCCTTGATATGATATTGAAAAGCTTTAATCACAACAAAACAATTCTTTGATTAAAAATTACAAGGTCTGAAAACAAACCAAGATGTGAACAGCCTTTATCAGGTGCACCCATTCAACTGCTTGCTGGTTGCCAGTCACTAGGTGGTCTCTGCTACAGGGTCATACAGGTTATACAATCCTCAGACTTGCAAGCATCAGTGACAATGAATGTTTTGTCCCTAAAGGACACCTTGTAGACGGGAAAAGCTGGGACCAAACTGTCCAAACTGCAGATGGCTGCAGATCAAAAACTTTAACAATCTTAACAAAAGGCCGTCACATTTCTTCACTGAGACCCTGTTAGGTGGATGCCCACAAAATTAGATTAGGAACATGGAGACCCTCTTTTATGAGATCTTTTCTTCGGTGTTTGGACAAAGTGGACAAAGGAAGGAAATCTGTGGTTTGATCCAGTAAGTCTGGACGCCTCTAAGGGAGGAGAGAAAGGAGGAGACTGGAGGTCTGCGCCGAATCTGACGTCAGGATCATTCTGCAAAGATAAGCTGTGGGACTCAACATTAACTACAGAGTCCATCCTTTCCAGGGAGGTGCTGGATATCAGAGGGGTTCTGGTGCAAAGTCTGGCGCTGATCCGACACTATGAGGGCATTAGATCAGAGCCGCGGTCTTCAGCCTCTCCACTGAACCGTCAAACAGAGAAAATGGGAAGTGCGAGTGAAGACCTGCTCGTCACACTCCAGATCTTGCCCGGCTTCTTCTCCAACTGTCTCTTTCTGGCTTTGTACGACTCCGTAGTGCTGGTGAAGCGAGTCGTGGCCCTGCTGAGCCGGTCGCGCTCCGCCGGCTGCGGAGAGTGGCGCCGCATGCTGACATCCGAGGGGCTGCGCTCCATCTGGAACAGCTTCCTGCTGGACGCCTACAAACAGGTAAGACTCCGAACCCGGGTCCGGATCGCTCTCTGTGGTGCTGCACTACGCACAAGTTGTTTCATCCTTTAGGTTTGTGGTAGCGACACAGTAGCCAAAGAGCCGCGTAAATTTCAGTTCTCCTTGCACAAAGTTTAAATTCGTCTTTATAAAAAATATATATATATATATATATATATATTATGAGTCATACTGATAAGACAGTACAAGCTTTTTTTTAAATCTTTCTTGAACGGTTAAAGATTATGTTTTACTATGCTGATTTTAATCTGCTTTTCCAGTGCAGTGACATGCAACATTGTTTCGTCACCAACAGCCTTATTCCCTCTGTTTTGTTCTGTATTCTGATAAACTTTGTTGTAAAAAGTTCATCTTAATCACCCCCCCTCCTCCTCATGTTGTAGACCTTCTGCTAATTAACCTCATTGTTTGTGAAATGTCTGTGTAATTATTGCTAAACAATTCAGCATTAGTTTTATAATCTATTTACTTAAAAAACTATTCATTGCGATTTTCCTGTCCCTTGTCTTCTCTTATAATGCAACTCTCTTGAGTTTCATAATCTCATCAATTGAAAATTTACAGTTCTGCTTGATAAATTAAAACATGCATTGCAATGAGGCTCGTTTCTCAGATTAAAAGTAAAATAACTTATGCAGGTGCTAAAGATAATTTTCATTAAACCCACGTTCCTCTACCAGATATGTTTTTATTGAGCTGACGCAATATTCTAATCTTAATGTTATCAGTTGTTTTATCAGAACTGTCATAATTATCATGAATAAACATGGCTTGAAAACATTAGTTTGTATGTTTGCCAGTAAGTATTTCACTTAGTGAATTGAGGTACTAGTAAATGAACTTTTAAATATTCAAATATATTAAATATGACTGCATCAGATATGGGCATCAGCCACAGTTAAAGTTCACCCAACTGATCAGACATAATAGTAATATGCTGGACATGGATGTCTGGCGTGTGAAATATAGTATCTTCCTAAATTTTGGGTCCTAGCAGTCCTTTGCAGCTGTGCGATACACACAATGATATTCCATGATGACTATGATACTGTCCACATCTCATCCTAATTATCCCCCTGTAGCTCAATGTTTGTTTAGGGTTTTGGTTCTGCTCAATGATGAAATTTCACTCCTACATCCAATTTTGCAGTCGCTAACTTCATCCATGTTCTTACCTGTCTTCAGCATCCAAACAGCATGATGTTGCCACCACCATGTTTCATTCTGTAGATTTCTTCCAAGCAAAGTTTTGCGTGTTGGCCAGGCAGTTCAATTTCCATCTCCTCTGACCAGAGCATGTTCTTGCACATATTTGTGGTGTTCCCCACATGGCATGTGGCAAACTGCAAAACAAGCCATCTCATACCATTCTTGAAGGAATGGCTGTGCATGACTCAAAGCTATGACAGATGCTCAAAGCTTGATATATTTTATTACCTAAACCTCCTTTAATCTTCTTCATGTCTTTATTTGGACATATTTGATGTGTTCCTTTTTTTATGGCATTGTTCTCTGGCAAACTTCACAAAACAGCTGGATTTAAACTGAGATTAAATTACACACAGGTGGACTCTATTTTCTAATTAGACTACTTTTAAAGGAAATTATTTGCGGTGGATTTTATGTAGGGGTCTCAGAGTAAAAAGAGTCGTACACAAGTCCATGTCAAACTTTTAAGATGTTGAATTAAAAGTTATGGATCCAATTATGTGCTACCTTTGTGTTGATCTGGCACAGGCATTTTTATGAAAATTCACAAACATTTGTGATTGTGGCATCACAAAGTATTGAAGACGCACTGTATATGCAGCATATTTTCTTAACCCAGAACAGATTCATATCCGTAATACAAAAAAAGTATTTATCACATAAACGATGATCCATTTCTGTGTCCAGTCCAGTTCATTCCACTCTGTGTTTGAACTGAACTTTAGCCTGAACATAGTGTTCTATGGAATGAGAACATTGAGAATCTTTTGAGCAGGGGAGGGCAACTCCAGGCCTCGAGGGCCGGTCTCCTGCAACTTTTAGATGTATCCCTCCTTCAACACACCTGAGTCAAATAATGAGGTCATTCGCAGGATTCTGGAGAATTGACTGCACTCAGGGGGGCATTCAGCTATATGAGTCTGTTGGACCAGGGAGACATCTAAGAGTTGCAGGACACTGGTCCTCGAGGACCAGGATTGCCCACTCCAGCTTTTGAGCCTGTAATGTTAGAAGCATCCTGGTTTGGATGTTAATAAATGCTTTTGCAAGGCACTGTAATATGGGTACTTTAATCAGTTTCTCAACTTTGAAACTCTCACAACATGGTCTGTTAATCACATGTTGTGTGATTAACAGACCACACAACATGACACTACTCTGTCAGCAGCAGTATTGTTTGTCATGATGACAGGTTAAGTTTTAACTCTTAATCATTACCATGAATCCAGATATTCTCAAGCAAGATACATCTTAAAACTTACCCCTAGCATAATTTAAAGGTGTTAGGTTTTTTATTCGTGTGAAGCCCTTTCCAGTTTCTCCACTGACACCATAAAGCCCATTTAACCTTTTAGCGCTTCCAGATCATGGAATGCCACATCTGGAATTTTATTGTAAACACAAGTGCTGAACCTTTTTTTTTATTTAAAGCAGCCAACTTTAGCACATCCTTCTTTGTGAACCAAAATAGTTACCAAAAACATTCCTTAAAGAATTTTAGCATATTTTGAGCTCACTGCAAAAGCACAAAATAGTATTTTTGGTCTAGTCTCTAGTGCAAATAGCTTAGTGCAATGAAATATGATGTATAAATAATAATAATAATTTTTAAAAAAATCATACGATATAAGCTTGCTTTAGACAATAATTGGACAATAACTGCTTAATACTTATAAATGTTACTTGACCTGGCAGACTATATTACTTATGGGAAAAATGTGTTTTTAGAAACAAAATAATCTGACAGTGGAACTAGTACTTTTTCATTAATAGTAAAGAATTACTATCTTTTCTATGGACATCTAGTCATGGCACAATGAAGCCCGGCAGCTTTTTGACGGTGGAAACCGCTATACAAACACAGTCCATGTACGTTTTTCTGCTGCAGTGGAGGATCTCACATCTGGATACATCAAATCAACGTCATAGTTTCCACTGGTCTAATTTCCATCCCTTGTGATTGCAGGAGTTTTTTCTCATCTCAGCTTCCCTACATTGTGGTTTCTTTGTATAGGTTTTCCCACGAAGGTCTGTTTTAGCCATTCTCAAATAAATTCCTTTCCGGAATTCACTGACTTTTATTGAATGTTAAATACCTTCATAAAACCTACAGGAATACAGTCCATCTGTCCATCCGACCACTCATTCTCTTCCTCTAAATAAACCCTCATACAAGTAAAGGATCAATGTCGACAACTTACTCATTTACTCACTTGGTACATTTTTTATGTCCACTGAAAACTAAACCTTGACACAAAAAAACTATAACTAAAAAAATATAATTTCCTTGAAATTGATCTTCTGTAATTTTTTTATATTGCATTTAGATTATTATTTTTTCAATAGGTGATCTTTATAATTGAACTTGAGACACGTATGCTGCTCTGGGTCAAATTGACCCGCTGATTAAAATAAACATAAGTGAGTCATGCAGAGACTATTTATGTTTTCCTCCACTTCTGCTGAGTGTCCACTCAGAGTGGGTGGAGTTTGCTCACAGGAACAGAAAAAGATTCCCGTCAAAAGTTGCTCTCTCACACTTACTTTCTCACAGTTTTCTTGTGAACTGAATGCCTAAAACTGGCAATGGTTGACTGAAACTCCAATCTGTGACACAAGTAAGACCTAAACAACATTTAGGTCTTAATACATATGTATGTGATGTGTGATGCATATGATCACACAGAATAGGAATGAATCAGAGATTGTTGTCTATAAGAAATAAATGTTACTATTTGTACCTCCTCAGGTGAAACTTGGCTGTGAGGCACCAAACTCCAAGGTGGTGAAGGTTCCTGATGGACCTCGGTGGAACAGCAATGTTGCCCCATATGGGTCAAGGATCCAGATTGGAGGTGAATGTCGCCTTCTGGATTTCGAGTCAATAGATCGCCCTCTGGTGGTGAACTTTGGCTCGGCCACCTGACCCCCATTCATCAGCCACTTGCCTGCCTTCCGGCAACTCGTGGAGGACTTTAGCGACGTGGCTGATTTCCTGTTGGTCTATATTGATGAGGCCCATCCTTCCGATGGATGGGTGGCTCCTCCCATGGGGCCCTGTTCTTTCAGTTTCCGAAAACACCAGAACCTTGAAGAGAGAATAGGAGCTGCACGCCAACTCATCGATCACTTTTCCCTACCGCCACAGTGCCAGCTAGTGGCCGACTGCATGGATAACAATGCCAACGTGGCTTATGGGGTGGCATATGAACGAGTCTGCATAGTGCACCAAAGGAAGATCGCCTACCTGGGAGGAAAGGGACCATTTTTCTACAACCTGAAGGATGTGAGGCAGTGGCTGGAACAGAGTTACGGCAGACGGTAGGAGTTATGAATGACATGACAGAGGACACATGAAAACAGAGCCTCTCGGCTTTGTATAAGGTAAACTGAAAAAGGTTTGTCATAAAGATGTCAGCCATTGGGCTCTAAACAACTATTTCCTGGAACTGCAGAGCACTTTTTTGTTTTCATACACACCAAGTGTGTTTTGTCCGCGTTTGTACCAATTTGCTGCTGAAAAACATGTTTTAAGAAGAGAAATACTAATTTCCAAATTTGAAAATATTTAAAAAAGATTTTGTGATTATTTTTAGAAGGATTGTATATTTTTTACATCTTTGTTAGATGTTTTTTGCACTATTCCAACAAGTCAACTTTTATCTGCACCTTTACCTTCTTGGTTTTCCAAGAAGGTAAAGCATTGTTCTCATTCATTGTTCTCATTCATGTTCTGATATAAAATCAAAATAGATTTAATGTGGCAAAAAAAAAAAAAAAAAAAAAACTTTCATCACTTGTCTGAGAAGACAGACTTGGTCAGAGAGGAACGATGATGAGTCTTGTACTGCGGGGGCAGCCTCACTCAAACAGCAGGTCCTCGTCTGTCTCCTCTGTCATCCCATTGTTATTTTAAATGGGCTTCTTTCTTACAATAACTGCAGAGGGCATTATTCCATTCGTTTAAAAAAAATCTAGCTTTGGGCCACAGGTTTTCATAGTTTGTTTGTATTTTATTTCCTAGTTCCACTACTTTAATACCATCTCAGGGATTCAGGATGGCAATTGTGTACTTTTGGTTTCAGTCCATGTGAGCTTAACTAAAACATAAAGCCCAGCTTTAATCTTATTTGGCAATTAAAACTTTCCTCCAGCTGACCTGAAGCTTTGCCGTGTTCACTAACATTTAGAAACACTTCTACCTGCCTTGCTGTTTTGGAGATTTTGGGATTTTAAACTCCCTGTTTCCACAGGTTGAATTATGCAGAAAGTTCAGGCTTTTGAAATACCTCAATATTGAGAATTACATTTGGACGACACTTGATTATGAGGATCACCTTTAAAAAAGTCGTTTATAATTGGCATCATGTAGGCATGATAAAGACTTTTGGTACATTTACTCATCAGTTATAGGTTGTACCACATTTTTATTTGACAAAGGGGTTCCTTTTAAATTATTGGCCTTTTGAATAATTGCTGGGGGTTTGGAAAGAGATTTGGTTGAATTTTGGAATTACAGTATTACATTAAGGTAGATCCAACTTACCACTTTGTATCATTTCAACAGTGGACGAAGACGCTGCTACGGCGCAAAAATCCGACTAAAAGTAGGTGATCTTTACAGGGTGTTGGTGAGGTCAGGCAAGCATGAAGAAGTCAGTTTGCTGAAGAATGGATCACAGTAAGTCATGGAGGGTTTTGAGCATGCATGAAAAGTCAGAATAGAGTAGAATAGAATAGAAACAGCTTTTATTATCTAGCAAAGGGAAATTCAGGGGGATAACAGTATCAACAGATTTAAAGGTTTACTCAAAAAGTGAACAGAAGCAGGTTTTTCAGTTTATTAACATGGTGGGAAATTTGCGGCTTGTATTTTCTGCCATGTAAAACCCAAAATACCATTGGTATTTAGGTGATGGACATCAATTATAAAGTTTAACATAAGTTCTTTCGAATAATTTCAAAGGATAATTTTTTTTTTTATTATTTCCTCGCAGCACTTTTCACTGTCCCTGCGATTTCAGTGCTGAACATTTATGATGATGAATTGAGTTGTCCCAGATCTGCTTCCCCCTAATCTTGTTTTCAGCTAACAATGGTCTCCAAGAATCTTTTTAGTTTCATAAGGGAATTCACAAGGGACTTAAGGTGCTGGGGTATTTATTTGAGCAGTCTTTTTGCACTTGCTGTATGGCACATATTGATTTGACAGTGATGATTAGGACAATATATATTGTTTTGCTCTACTACCTAAATCCTCAGCATTGATTGAATAAAATGGCTTTGTACTGCATGCCAGATGCAGCTTTAGAAAAAAAAACATGTTATTCTGGAAAGATTAAACTAAAAACATTTTACAGGTATTTTATTTTTAAAGATACACCAATAAATTTAATATTTTTATGCCAAAATTTTGTATTCAATGCTACAATCACTATCAAAAAGTGCTATTTTTGTGTGTTGCAGTTCTCAGAATTAGCAGATGAGATCATAAAGAAAACTGGAAATGAGTATCAATCAGAAAAATCTGATCTGTCCCACTTTTATTCTTATCTCAAGATATCTTAACAACAATATAACATCCAAATGAATAACTTGTGGGCTGCTTCAGTATTGATGTAAGTAGGGGCATGATGTACTAAGCAAATCTTTGCATGACAGGGCATGGTTGCTGCGATGCTACAGAGATTGACCTCAAATGAAATATTCGTTCTTTATTCTGGAACAGAAAAGCACCTGGAATTCTTGAGAAAACACGAAAAAAAATCTTTTGAAGAAAAAAAAGAAAAGAAGCCCAGATGCCTTCAGTTTTAGCACTTTTGCACTAAAGAGGTCACATGATTAGTTTGAAAGCCACATTAAATCTATTTTGTTTCAGAGAACGATTTACCAAGGCATGCAATTTTTTCCCTGTTTGTTAGAGATAAACCACAGTTTATCGGGATCATCAGTTTTTACTTCTGTGAATTACACTTGTTCAGGTGTATGAGATGTGACAATCAGTTCAGGTTTAAAAATGACATCAAACTCTACTAAACTCCTGTGTTAACAGTTCACTTTAAGCAATTTATATGCATATATATGTTACTTTTTGCTTCAGGATCAGACATACTGCCAAATAACTATAACAAGAAAAAACTTTTGCACTAACGTGACTACCAATGCCTTCTAAACTACAGGAAAATTGACTCATTAACTGGTGCAAAGCTTTGTAAATTGGCCTGCAAGATTACAGGTAGAGACATATATTGATGCAACTCATGCTACCTTCATTTTAATATTTTGCAGGATGTCTTAAAGATGACTGGATTGCTGCAGATGTTTTAGTCAGGCATTGACTAAAACATCTGCAGCTGGGATTTGTATTCCAGCGACAGAAACTTGCTTCCTGAGTTAGGTTGAAAAAGTTTAATCTAGAACGCAATAAAAACCAGCATGCTTACAGGTTCATAATTCACTTTATTCAGCTCCTAATGTAGAATTCTTACCTATACATAAAGAGATTTTTATGTATTTTTTATGTATTCTCTACATGTTAGGATGGACGGATAGAAATGAAGGACTATAAATCAAAGCCAGGCAGAAATCTTTTCTCCGGACAGATGGTTTGCTCTGCCCTCAATGATAAAGGTGTGCAAATGAAAACCTTTGACGAAAGAGTCAGTGGCTCAGTCTCTGGTTGGATAATAGACAACACTTTGTCATCACGACGCAGGTTCATTGCATCTGTTTTCATTTTCAAGTTCTGTCTTGTATTACAGTTTCATGCAGACAGCTCTGGTTTCCATCTATGTTTAAGTGTAACACTTATTTTTATATGTAAAATGGAGAGAAGACCAGTGGTGAAAAATAAAGTTTAATGTTTGATTTGAAAATGTTTGATGTGTCATCTTTGAGTTATTCTGTTGGTTAATCTCAAACCATTACTAAGACATACAACAATAAACATGTTGTCCTCCCATCCACATTAAGAAACTGTTTGGAACTTTGTTCTCAGTTATGTCATCTAAATAGCTATTTTCAATACAGCTTTTTCCACTTTGCAATCTTCCCAAACCATAAAGTTAGAATTCTTGAGGAGTTTCAAATGTTACTTTTTCCCATTTATCCTTTAGACATGTTTTAGTTTCATCAGGCCATTTGGGGTTTCTAAATTCTCCAACATTCTCTGTTGGGGAAAGGTCAGTACGGCAGGCATTTCCTCTTCTTTCTCAAGCATGCCTTTTAGAATGTGAACAGAAAATGGTTTGCCAATGCATCCAAGTTCCTACAAGAGTTCTGGTCTTTCAGACAGCAGCATGTGCTACATTTCTGCATTAATGCTGCCTTTAAAGAAATGGAAATAAGCTTTGCCAAGAACACTGATGTAACCCCAAGCGGTTGCTGAACCTGAATTTTGTGACTGGTTGAAAACATGCTGGCCTGAATGCTATCGTTTCTTCCAACACTTAGAATACTCCTCTGTTTGACGACTCTGTGTGATGATCCAATCCAGATGCTGTCAATGCCCAGAGAAGTGGACCCTGCTTCTATTTCCTCATAAAAAGTTTTATGATGAAATGACAAGTTTGGTTTGCATTATTATCTGTTTGCGCAATCAACTGTGCAGCAGCCGAGGACCATCTTCCAGTGACATTAACTAAATAAAATTGACTTTCAGCTACTAACGGTCTGTTTGCTGACAAGCTTTACAAGAGAGGATAGATTGCGCAGTGGACTACTTTCTGAAGAGAACAACATCATGTGCAAAGGGTCAATTGAATAGATTTACAAAGTATTCTAAAATAATTATCTTGTCCATTCTAGTTCTAAGAGCTATTGACAATTGTCAGTGCCACCAAAAGAGTCACAGGTTTGCAAAAAAAAGTATATTAGTCATATATTAATTCACAGTTTATGCAAATCTTGTCAATGTGTTATTTAGAATGTCTTGCAACATGTAATGAATGTATTTATGTAAATGCATTTAGCAAGACACAACACGACAATCTAGAGTCAATAAATATTTAAGGAAGTTTGAAAATCATTCACCAATTTATTTTTTCTGTTTTGCAATTTCTTCTTTTTTGCAAATGATAGCAACGTGACTTTTTATGAAGACTAACATTTAACTTCCTAAGAGGGTTAGGCTTCAAAAATAATTTTCTAGTGGGCACTGGTTTCTTGTTCAGCTGAACCTTTGTTCTGTTTGACTGGCCAGTTAGTCTAAGACAAACAAAATATATGAAGTACAAAAAAATGTGGATGTGTATACATTTGAAAAGGTACCCGTCCAGCTCTACTCACCGCTATTGTTCTCCCATATTACTCCAACCTCCTAATTTTCCATTATCTCGCCCTTCTGCTCGCCAAAGCTGTCATCCGATATTTGTGACAACGAATCCAGGTCACTACAGCCTTCCCTGGACAGTGTTTGAAAAAGAAGCTTTTGTTGCAGATTCTGGGCAATCACACCCAGTGTTTAAAAGGAAACCGGCTGTCTCCTTACCCCTGAGAAGCACACAGAGTCCAGCCAGACTCCCAGTAATGTTGGAAGAGTGACAACAAAAAGAAGCTTTGCAAGAAAGGACACAAATTAGCAACACAGTGTCAGCGGAGAGAGGAAAACATGCAAAACAGATTTCCTCCATTATGGTTTTATGTAAATATCTCTGCATTTCTACCTAATAATTTAAATATTTAGATAGATTCAAATTATTCTCAGATACTTAGATGAGATTTCACCAGATCAGTTATGCCTGTTTTGAGCTCATTAAGGGATGTGCTGTTTTCAGAACATGTCATTATTATATAAATGAGCTGCTGCCTCCTTACTCAGTGTTTACACACACACTTCAGACTCATAAAAGTGACTACCAACAGATGCACGGTGGCACAACCAAACATCCTTGACCCAGAAGCAGAAGAAGTGGAGTCTCCTGAATAGCCATCAAGCCAATCACTAAAGGATTAAAGACAGGTAAGAATAAGATAACATTTTATATCACTGTTTGATGCCTTTGACAAAATGTACCTTATATCAATACCTAAATATAAACAATGTTACATTATGACAATGATGAATGCAATATTGATCAGTTACAGTACACACAGACGTAATTCTTTTCACTATGTATTTCTTGTCTTACACTTCAGTCTAAATTAAATGAAGAATTAATTATATCTTTTATTTTCATTGTTTGGGCTGAATAGTGGCACAGATGATAGAGAGAGAGACTGGCGACCTGTCCAGGATGTACCCCACCTCTCGCTCGTGACGTAGCTGGAGATAGGCACCAGCACCTCCCCACCCCACTAGGGACAAGGGTGAACAGAAGATGGATGGATGGATGGATGGATGGATGGATGGATGGATGGATGGATGTAGGATTGTAGTAAATAACAATAAAAGTAAACTTTAAAAACTCTCCCTCATGAAATAATCTTGTATGTCATAAGTATCATCTATCATTTTAGTGAGTTTTCCGCAGAGCAAAAGTATAATTGCTTGCAAAAACCCTATTTTTTCTTATATTTTATTTCATATAATCTGAAAACAGTAGTTTCTACAAGAGGTTATTCAAAGAAACGTGCACCCAGCTTAAAAAAAGAGAAAAAATTTAGTTATCCACACGTCATACTGTAACAAACTGTACTCAAAAATGATTCCAATAATATAGCATAAACATGTACTTTGGGGCCCTATTATCATGCTTCAGTTCTAAATTTTGTTTTGCTTCATAATTAATTTTTAACTATTATCTATTAATATTACTTTTCTAACTTGAACACAGTCAACACATTCTAATTAATCAGTTTCACTCAATGCTCTTTTTGAAGCTATTAAAAAGATAATTTATCAAAAATGTGTCATTTGTTAAAGTAGTGTATGGGTTTTCAAATGAAATGAAATAACCTGTTGACAATGGATATTTTGTCTCACCCCTTCATGCTGGGGTTTCAAAGTGACTACATTGTTCCAACATCTTACTGCTTGCTTTCATAACATTAATTTTCACATTTTTAATTTTCATTTTGCACCGTAACTGCCTATAAACATATCTACATTTGGTCACATGTGAAATTCAGATGTTTTCTACAAAGGATGTCAAAATGTTTTAGTTTGTTTCGCCATAAACAGTGGAAGGAAAGCTGATAACTTCATAAGCACTTATAAAAGCTTACATTTTTCCTTGGTATTTTTGATGAAGAAGCTATTTTTTTGCCTGAATCATAAATCACTATTTGGAAATCAGTGGGCCCGTCACTGGAAACTGATCAGAAAAGGGATTCAGAAGAACTGTCTGCCTTTCATGTTAACAAGAAACATCCACAGCAATAAAAATAGCAAATCTTCAACTAAAATATGTCTGGATATAATAATAATAAAAATAATTTAAAAAAGCTGATTACAGGACATTCATCTGCTTCATCTCGCCACCGCAAAAACAATGGACCAAACAGTTTCCAAAAAGTAGGACACAGATGCAAACAATCAAAGTTTCCACACGCAAATATGCAGAACATTAACATGATTTCTGCTTAATGTTCTCAGCTGAAAGTCTTAGCATGACTTTGTCTAGTAACATCCTGTTATCTTTATTATTCTGTTTATGAGGTTGAAACTAAATACGAGTTTAGACCTCTTAAATCTGTCTTGTGATCTCTTAAACTCCTGGAACTGATAGTATCTAAAGAGACTTTCTGAGAACCATCTGTTGTCTGAGTTTTAAAATTGTAATCATCAGTAGCTAGTTTAGTTTATGCCAATGACAAAGTTTTAATTTCCTCTAAAAACTTGTATGACTGTAGCCACATCCCTACTGAAGTACTTAGAAATTACCAATATTTGACAAAACAATGAAGAATTTTAGAAAATATTCCTTTTGACCTCTCTTAGGAAAAGCTGAATAAATTTAAATAGGTTTTATTTGCTCTGGAAAGATAAATACACAAAAAAACACCACAGGAAATTATACCATTTTGTTTACTGAGGAAAGTATAACTACACAAATATAGTGCCTTCCAGACATTTTGATTTATCTTGGACAGTGGAAAGTGAGTAATGCTATATTGCAATAAATAAATGGCTTATAAAATAGTTATTTAAATGCATTATTAGTTTTTTTAAAATGAGAAATAAATACACAAATAATTTACTAAATGGAAAAATTAATCATAAATGCCTGAAATGTATTGATTTAATTTAAAAACTTGATATAATTACGTTACAATTCAAATGACTGTTTCATGATCCTGTGCTGAAGCATATCAAGAATCAAACTCAGTGGGCAGGACAGTGGGCAGCTTCTATAGGGACCGTTATTGTTTCCATCAGCAAGTCATGAGAATTTCCTACAGGTTTAACATGTTGACAAAGTGAGTTTTGTCTTCAGCATCTCATTCATTCTTTAAAATTTCCTGTTCCAGTAAATATTTAATTTTCCCTCTAGTTTATCTATCCCTGGATTTGTGTTGTTAACTCTGTAAAAAGATGTTTGTGTGATTACCTTGAGAAAAATGGGCCGATCCACAGCTTTCACTTCCAGACATGAGCAGAGCATCCAGTGAGAGGGCCTCAACATACCTACTCAAATATTTTTACTTGGATGTTAATGTAGAAATTTAGCCATTTTTGTATACAGGTGAACATATTTTTGCATAAATAAATTAATAGATTCCTAATTGTGGTACTATGCTTCCCCCTTCTAACATGAAGAATTTAAAATAATGCATTTCCTTTTTGACCAGTATGTCTTTCACCTTTTACTTAGAATATTTATGTCAGGGTATTATTAAGGCAGGCCATCAACCTGGATATATTGGGATGGCAACATTTTGGACATCTCATCTTGACCCTCAATGCTTTATCAAGCATCTGCTTTTTCTGGATGTTATAGAAAGAAAAGATGTCTTTATAAAACTATGTAGCTTTGAATTAAATCTGTTCTGTCTAAATTTGAATGAAGCTTTCATAAAGTTCTGTCATATCACAAGCCCAAATCTATTAGATCAATTTAAGTGATAAACCAGCAAATAATTGTAAAGTGAAACCAAAATTATAGCTGATTTCCAAAATCTTTTTCAAAAGGTGTGGTGTGTGTGTAGTATGTATTTATTTCATCTGTGTAAGTTAAGCTCAGTATGCATATATGTGTTTTGTGGAGGCCTTATCAAATGCATTGATTAAAATATGAAGACGTATTAAGCAAATATGGTTACAAATCAATACACCAAGATGTTAACATGTCATGGACCACTATTCAATTCATCATCTGAAAATAAAAACGCCAAACATATCAAAACATGACACTCCGCCTAAACTGACAAACAAAGTAGGGAGATCATTAATCAGAAAAGCAGCCAAGTGCCTCATGGCAACATTTTGCAACAATTCACAGGTAAGATAATCTGTCAATTGGAGAACTGTTAGCTGTGGAAACCACAAATCTCAAATCTTATGGAAGATTGTCAAGAAGAAAGCCATTGTTAAAAAATATATATATAAATTATGTAGGGTGCAAATCAAAAGTGGAACATGCATCTTCTGCAGAAAAGTGACAACCTGAACAAACCATCCTCACAAGTACACACGATGATGGTAACATCACCCAGTGTAGATGCTTTTCTTTCCAGCAGGGAGAGGGAACAGCAAATCTGCTTTACACAAATGGTGTCCATCCACTTCGAATGAACTCCAGCTATTTTGTTATCAATAATGTGCAAATCAGGTTGAGACATGTGTTGACTTTTTAGAGTCTTCTCTGCCAAGAATGCTGAAACTGAATCTGTTTACTTTTCAAATGAAACTTTTAGCTTTAAGATTACAAAATGTGACAAAGATCAAAGGATATCAATACTTTACCTATATGATCCCTGTATAGGAGTCCGATGATGAGCTTGACCAGTTCTTCCTCAAGACTTAATACTTAGCACCTACACAGCAATGTTAAATGGTATGGCTAAAACCCACTAAAATGATGATGTACAACAATGACACACTTGATTTGTAGGAATGATTCAAACAGACACAACAGCAGCAAAAGCATACACAATCCTGGACTTCATTAATGGTCAGTGGTAAAGACCAACATTTAAAATATGTAAGGCAAAACCCTTTTGACCACAGATATTTATGCTGTTGATCCTAATGTTACTTTCACATATAGTGTTAATAATATTTTAGTGCTAAAGAGGATAATCTTTCAAAAAGTCAATACCTTTTTATAGATATCTAATGTACAGTGTTGGTATTGTACGCCTGCTTGTAAACACCTGATTTGAGTGAATGTGTGATTCACAATGCAGACAGTTTTGAAGGAATTATTTATTTAATCATTTGAATAAATTATGAAGTAGGCTATGAACACCTAATACTTGTATAATCTGAATTCATGTGGAATCCTGAATCTGATAAATGAGAGCTGTAAAAAAGTTTATTATTGTTCCCCTCCAAAGTTTGGCGTTGTTGCAAGGATTTCTTGAAATTTGCTGCCTTTTTAGTTAACCAACATTTTATGCCATGAGTGAGTGGTTCCAGTCCTCAAGACCAAGAGTATTGCCAAAACATCTAAAACTTGAGGGATAATACCAGGTAAGGGCAGGAGTTGGCCACCAGAGGTCTTTGGACTTCCTAAGAAAACACAGGATCCAAATAAATGAATCTGAAAACAGTAAGCTGAAATCCAACTTGAATGGCAAATTTGTTACAGAGAGACTTTCATGGAGTTTATTTAATTTATTCCACCCACAAATTTACCAGTGTCAGAAAAATTTCAGTGATTCAGCAAGTTCTGTCAGTGGTTGGAAGTTCTGGTCCTCCTTTGGATCTTAGTGACCCACTGAAAATAGTTTTTTAAGTTGGGGGAGTTGGAGCATAATGTCAAAAACTTGCAAGACACTGGCTCTTGAAGAACCCACCAATGGATGACAGCCAGGGGTCCTCAAATCCAGGCTTAAAGAGCCGATGTCCTGCAACTTTTAGGTGTGTGCTTGGTTTGACATGCTTCAATCACCTCCACAGTGCAGTCAAATTCTCCAGACTGTTGCTGATGAGCTGATTATTTTACTCAGGTTTGGTGACAAATTGTCACATCTATCCCTGAGGATCCCTGGTCTATGGCCTTCTTAAAAACACAAGGTAAAAACACAGATGCTATTTCGATGAAGACATAAATCCCAACTGGAATAATAATCTGCAATATGAAGACTAAGGTGGAAATCATTTGATTTGTCTCACAGACATCTTGCTGTGCAGATTAACTATGATTTTTGTTGTTAATAAAATATTTCTAGTACTACAAACACAATGCCATGTTTCCATTGTTTATGCTTCAAGTGTGGTGGTCACATCATAATTTCTATCAGAGAAAACACTTTAATGTATAGGTAAGAGCAGATTAACCTGAAATCTCAAAAGGCTTTGTGTTTTGTCTTTGCCCTCCTTTGGCATCAGAAACATAGAGGTGGGACCACAGATGAGGGGGAAATGTTGAAATGATATTACAATTGGGAAAAGCATTGCTACACTAATTGCTCAACTGTATTTACCCATTGATAAGAGAATAACTTCAGAAAAAATGTTTATTTGTTATCAAATGGATGAAAAAGGGGAAAAAAAACCAATTGTAACCCAAAATATGATTTCTAAGAAAAAAAGTATCCACTTCTTTAATAGCAATGTCAGAAAATGCGAACATAAATGAGTGGTAAAATTTTTCCAAAGCGAGATGTCAACTAATGACGAAGAAGAAATGATGTCCTTTGACCCCCCTTTATAGCTTTTATTTGAGCTTTACTGTCTTCACCATGAATCTGAGTGTATGCTCTTTCTTTCTCTCTATAAAAAAGTACAAACAAAGCAAAACAGAAATCAATGTACCCCAGGACAAGAACGCCATGGTTGAGAAGAAAGGGCACCTTGTATTTGTTGGACAACTGCAAGTAGTTAAATATTCATGCAACTTTAGAAACATCTGTGTAGATTTCTAGGCTAACAATACATTTTTTTTATTCTTCATGAATATCAATATGATTCTCCACAGTCTGGTTAAAGTCTTTCTCCATGTAAATTAACAGATAGATTTTTTAAATGAATTCTGTTGATAAATCATATCTTCAGTCTGTACAATAGAGGTACTAAAAATTACAACTGTCATGGTATATGTACAATTTACTACCTACAAAGTACAACAGATAGCATGTAATAAAATATGTAAACAAATTTTTCATTTTTTTGACACAGTTGACTGTGACAGCTGATAGAATTCACACTTTCAACATCTGGTTTATTTCTGTATACACATTGGTTAACAGTGTAGTAGTACTGCATCTGTGTTCATCCTGACACCTCCATAGAAAAAGAGAATGATAGGCAATGAACCAACACACACTTGTGCAGATAGATAAAACCACCACAGACTGTGCAGCAAGAAGAGATCTGTTTGAGGGGTTTCGAGAAGAGGGGGGAGTCCTGATCTTAGATGAAGAACTTCCTTTGTGTTATCCAAGCTGAACACTCTTTACTGGACTTGTACTGTACTGCACCTTACTGTGGAATCAGGATGGCATGCATTTTACAATCAGGCGCTTCTTATCAAGAGAACCGACAAATTCTTCCCACAAAGAGAGTCACTGTGTCTGTCAGACAATGAGAATAATTGTGGTGAATTAGATGCCAGAGCAAACAGATGGTATGAGGTCTGCCCTTGGCAATTGGCTCACTTAGATTCATATTATACACATAAAATAGTTTTCTTTTCTTACTGTTCTCTTTTAATCTTTTTTTTCTTTTGCTTTAAGCAAAAATAAGTAAGACACCACACTTATATTATGTATAAACCATAAAAATCTGTAATATTTTGATTACTAGAGTCCTTTGTGTGTCTGACCCCCTCTCGTTAAGCACTACTTGTTGCTTACATGCTGGAAACGTTTAAGATAACGAGCCTTTTGTAATTAACAATTTCACAAAAATTGTTTAATGCCAAGGATCACATAGCTCTAAAAGTCACTTAGGAGAATGATGCTGTGAAATATTTGTATACCGACAATGTCTCTGACCAGATAGAAGTGTAAGGTTTCTAAAGTTGCTATTTAACCTTGCCATTAAGCCTTTTGCTTAATAGTAAGTGTGCTTTATGTTACAGTACATATCAGTTCAACTATTCAGCACAGTATAGAATTATTCAAGTCCCATGTTATACCATCATTTGTCAAAGCTCCTCACAGGGAAACTGGTAATAAAAGTTCTCTCAGTGCCTTCTCTCTTTGTTCTGTCGGGTTGACCAAAGTCTCAGTCACACATAATACTCCTTATCCTTGTTTTTCTGTCTCTTGTTGCTGCCTTTCAGGCTCTGCTGTTTGTCCTTCATGACAGCGCCATTGCTCTGCACAGCCGAGTTGGTTATGTAGTGCCGGCTCTCGTCCACCTGGTAGGAGCCTTCATCCCTGTTCCTGTACTTATACATGGCGTACAGGAGGATGAGGATACACAGCGCTGCGGCCGCCACTATTCCGATGACCATCCCGGTGGTGCTGCTAGATTCACGGACCACCTCCGAGGGCCCCGGGACTCGCCTGACGCCTGGCTCTGTGGGGAGTGCTGTGGGTATATTATGGAACATGACGGAAATTATTAATGGGCCCCTCAGCTTGCTGCTGTCTACCTCACAGGATGTGGCAATAGAAGCAACATTAGGTTGGGGCTGGGGTTTTAGCTCGCGTTTTTTTGTTTTGCCGGAGAATTGTGGAGGGCTGTGGTGGAGGCAGAGGTGCTAGTGGTGCGGCTCTGGTTGGCGGTTACTGGTATGGTGGTTGTCCTACTGCATCTGAAGATGGAAGGTTTGTTTGGTATAAAAGTCCTGGGCGCCTGTGCTTTGTAGTCACCTTGAAAGTGTGATGTAGGTCTTAACAAGGAGAAGTTCGAGTGAAAATCTTCATCATCATCAGTGGGGGCAGGTAAGACTTCAACGCTTTCCCAGAGCCATACCCCGATATCACCAAGCCATCATCATCACAATCATCGCTGCCTCGGTCCGACAAGCAAGGTACCCCCGCCTCAGTGGCCTTGGACAAGGACTCTTTGGTGGTCTCAATAATGGTGAGGAGTGGGTGGTGGGTTGAGGGAGTGGGAATGAAGGGTGCACGGGTAGCTACAAAGGGGTGCTCTAATGGATCCTCAATGACTAATTCAGCTCCTGGAAGGGGAAAAAGATTTATTTTAGAACCAAACTCTATAATTTATGAACCAAACAAAGCCAGCAAAAGTCAGATATAAAAACATCTTAAAAGGCTTAAGAGGTAAAATGGGAGCCAGAAGGATAATTTAAGCTTTGATTATATTTCAGTTTATTTCAGCCACTAAATCCTGGGATATTAGTGTTCTTTAATATTGTTTTTCATGATAAAAGTACTCTGAAGCAAATTGTGTATAATTTTCATTATTATTATTATTTCGTTGAAGTTAAGATACCATCTTCATCATCTATTTTAAATACATGACAAAGCTTCAGCAGCATTATTCTATGGGACCAGAATGGCTGCTGTGTTGCGATATTTTTTTCTCGCAAAAATGCACAATAAAAATTTTAATATAAATGTTTTTTTTTAAGACTGTTTTCTTCATTCTTTCTTGCCCCTTATTGGGAAAACCTAGTCCACCAAATGATCCTCTGGTTTTTAGAACCACCTCTCTGACAATGTTGCGGAGAGAGTTTAATCCACTGATTATCAATGTTACCTCATTGCTGGTATGACGGCCACATGTTTGACTTTTGGGTAGTGGAGTAGTTCGTGGTCAGCTGAATTGTACCAATTTGCCCAGATTGTTTGAACAAACCCATGATGTTCAGTTCTCCACATGCATCCTAGGCTTTTGCTCTGAGATCTTTGTGTCAACCTGCTTTGTTTAATTTTCACCAACCCTGATTTTGCATTGTGATCTAACGTCTAGACTGGGCTGCTCAAGTCCAGTCCTTGAGAGCGACCAACCTGCAACTTTCAGGTGCATCCTTCCTCCAACACACCTGAATCAAATGGATGGCACATTGCCAGACCTGTTCAGAGTTGAATAACAGTTTGTGAGGGAAATTCTGCCATTTGATCCAGGTCTGTTGGAGTAAAGATCCATCGAAAAGAGACGGTAGCTCTCGATGACTGGATTTTTGAGAACCCCTAAATCTAGAGTTGCTTCCCATCTCTCTGAAGGACATTAAAAAAATATTGTAGTTCAATCAGACAGCACTGTAAATTTTAGAAAATGAAAATAATTGCTCTAAAGAAAGTGCTGATGTCTTTCCTCTGGCAAAGTATATAGATTCCTGCTTTCATACACGTCCTCTGATAAAGATTTAATGTTATGTGTTGCTTTAGTTGTTGCATAAATTGTTGCTACTTTCTTTTTAAAATACTGTTGAAAGGCAAAAAGCTAAACATCATTTTAAACAATAACTTTACATTTCAGGTATTAAATGTATAACTTGTAGGGTTGTTATTGTTCACATTTACTGAGTGAATGCTCAGCCAGCTTTTTCCCCAATACTGGTCCTTGAAACATATTGCCTTGCATGTTTCAGCTTTCCCCCTGTTTTAGGACACATGGTTTAAATTGACGGGTTAAATTACCAGCCTGCAGCAGATCTTGATAACAAGCTGCTGGGGGACTTCTAACATGAACCCAATCCAATGCTGCAGAGCTAGGAAGTGATCCAAAGAACTGATTTTAATTATTGTGAAACTAATTGCAATATTGCTACTCGGTGGCTCCCACTTCATCTTAAACCTCTTGTTTACTTAGAGTAACACACATAAATGTACCAACACCTTCATAAATAGTTCTCAGATGCAGAGCTGAATCCTTCATTAGTTTTATAGAGTGAGTCTAATTTAGATTTCTATTTTAAAAGTAGCAACTGAGTAAAAAGGTCAGCATTCCTTGTTTGTACATTTGCTCTGCAATTATATTATCAAATCCCAGTAAACTGATGTTATTAGTGAGTTATTTGCCCATTTTGCATAACAACCTGGATAGCATCATTAGCAAGCTCTGTAGGTGGGCCGTGTTTTAACAACAAAAGCATCCTACAGGGTAGACGAGTTCATAGATAGTAAAAGAGGGTTTTTCACATGATGTTGTGTTGAGTGTATTTTGTTGTAGAATAACTCTGTTACCAGAAGCAGCTCTGTCACCAGACAACATTTGTTTACTTTGCATTTGAAAACAAGGCTTTTAAATGTTCACCCCTTGCAAAACAGCACTCTGAATGAAAGGTATTTTGGAGTTTCGTTATGAGAGACTCAAACACCAGATAGTTTATTTTACCTTATAAATATAAATGTACCTTATAAACTTTGGAGTTTGGCTTCAAGTAATTTTGATTCTTTTTATTGAGTAATGGCAGGAGAAAACAGGAAACAAATTGGAGATGTACATTTATCCTGGATTAATGAGATGCTGGAGCAGTCTGTAGTGGTGATGAAGCTGAACTGAAAGACAGAGCTCAGAATTTACTGCTCCATTAAAGTTCAAACCCTCACCTATTGTCAAGAGAGATAGATAATACTGTAAAAAACAAGCTCCACAATATAAAATTCTAAAATTTGCATTCTTTGTAGGGTAGACAGGACAGTTAGGCAAAGACGTTCCTCATCCAGTTTGAGCTCTGGATACTTTACCAAATCCCAAAATGTCAGCTGAGGTGCTTCATCTGATCTGGATAGTTTCTGGACACCTGTAGACCATCTTTTTTTAAGCCTTTGACATGTTGAATGTTCAAAGATTGTATTTCACATGTTCTGGTTGTAGTAAGTGGTTACTTGAGCCACAGCTGCCTTTGTATCATCTTGAAGCAGTCTGCTCACTCTCTTCTGACATGAACAGGGCTTTTGCTTCTAATTGTGGATATTTTTTCATTTTCTGAAAATTCTCTTTCCAGGTGTGTTGATGGGGAAAAATCTGAGCATGTTAGCAGATTCTGAAATAACCAAACAGTCTTACACCAACGACACCATATTTCAGCCATTCTGTTAGCTGAAGTATGTTTCAGTAAGTTGTCCTTTCCAGGTTTGATAGGTCCGATGCATTGAGTACCTGTCATGTAATTAGCACATTTTGTATTAGCAAAAAATCGTATCTAATGAAGTGGCCAAATGACCTTGGAAAAGGGAACTTTGGGTTTTCCCTTTCGGCTTGTTACAGCTAGGACCCAACTTTTGATAAGAGGAAATGAATGGACAGACGGGCTACTTTCTTTTTATTTCCCCTAAACAAAATCCAACTGTTTTTGGTATATTCTGGGCAATTCCCAATATTTTTCAGATTTTATATAAATGCTGAGTGTTGCATAGCACAAAACAGTATTTGGGTCATGTGCTGTTATTACTGGAGTGAACATTCAAAGCATCAACTCATTAACATGAAAGTACCCACTGTGATTCAGTATGTCTTTTGGAGTCATTCATGCAAGTTAACACTTCATACAAAACATTGCTTCACGCACATCAGCTGCAAACACATCCAATTACAGACATACAACACGTGCCTAAACAAAGGCCTTCTGTAGCATTTCTAACTTGACTGAATATTTATCAGCTGTAACATGACCACATATCCAACAAAGATGCAGTCTGCAGGTTTTCAAGAAGAGATTTATCCATCCAGCATCATCTGATTTTAGTTAATTACAACAGAAAACTTTTGAAATGTGTAAGTTCACAAACTGCATCTTACACAAGCATCACAGAGAGAATCAGAGCATGCACATTGTGTGTCATTAACTTACATCAACAATTTGCCCGCATGATTTTTAGGCAAGAGGAAAAGAATTTACAAAGGAAAAAATGTGTAAAAATGTAGGATAGCCACTTGGTACCGTTAAAGATAATTTTTATCCACTGTAAAATGGGTTCTATCTTAAAACAATGGCGGTACAGGGAGGCAACAGCACATACATCCACACCACATAACAGAAAAATAAACACCATATTTCTGCTTTTTATCCTTTGTTTCTCTTTCCTTGTAAATATTTTTTTTACAAAAAATCTGCATTTTTTTTTTCATAGCAAGAGACTTCAGTGAGCCTAAAATCTATCCATGTTACAATTTTTGCTTAATTTGCTCTTTAGTGTAGAATGGATGGATGACTTTATATTTCAATATTTCTAAAGACAAGGGAGGAGGTGAAGAAGGGGTTGGACCTATGAACATACTACAGAGGAGATGAGGATGATGAGGGTGACAGTGTAAGTCAGTTGCCATGTCCATGTAAAGGCAGTACGAAGCGGTCGGGCGGCATTAGAGGTTTTGGCTGTAAGGAAGGGATGGGGATATACAAACAATGAGCAATATACATGCCCATCTACAGAAAAGAACAGAAGAACTCTAACACTGACATGTCTTACAAACCCTAAACTGCAACTTCTTAGCCATGCAATTCAATTTGTATTGTTCTTACAGTAAAGATACACTCCCTGACACAAACAGTGACCCACCCTGAGAAATGGTCTGATTTGGATCTAGTTTGATTCACATGTGGACCAGTGATAAGAATGCAAATTACTCATTTTGCAAGGAGCTAGCACATCTCATAACCCACCCCACCCCAT